CATTTTCATCATTTGTACTGACCTGTAATCGTTTTATTTCACTTCTTTCATTAGCAATTCTCTGTCTGAGTTCATCTCCTATTAAAGTCAACTCCTAAAAGAAAAGAGAAAGTAGATTTAAGCTGTTACACGGGACGATTTGCACGTTTTTCTATTTCTTCAATAAATCCTACATCATAATCATTGCCATACCTCTTGTTCCATGATTAGTTCAGCTTCAGAAGCTTCTAATAGTTTGATCTCTTCTAAAAATAAATTAGAATTTCCAAAAAATATTTAATTTTGTGTAATAGAATGAAAGACACTATCAAACGTATTAATAAGCCTTTTAATAGTTTAAGAATCGATTCCACTGCACATGCGATTTTATCCCGAATTTCTCACCTTCTTTTGTTTAATTAAGAACAAAAGAAGGTTTAGACAAAAGAAGGTTAGAAATTCGGGATAAAATCGCATGCGCAGTGGAATCGATTCTTAAACTATGAAAAGTCTTATTGCAGGCAGGCATAAAACCAAGGCAATTTCCAGCGGTCAAAAATGTAAGCTCTTCTAATTTTAAATGCCTACGCCAAAAAGGTGTTTGGACTATTTTGCCACTCAGGTCACTCACGACATTAAAACTTTAAAACCAAAAGCAAATTTATTTCGCTCGATCGAGCCTCTTCACTGTATTTTTGATTTCTTTGAAAATGAAAACAAAAGCATCTTTTGGCCTGAAATTGCTTTTATGCCCGCAGGCAGCCCAAACAAGGTTCCTGTGTATGGTTTATAAGGGAATGTATGGGAGTTATGATAAAGTTACGAAAATAAAATGTTTCACTCAACAATTTTTAAAAACCCACTAAACAGCCTCAAATCGCGCTGAAACGTCGCCAGAAGACTGAACAAAGTAAAAGCAATGACTGCAACAAGTTTTGAGGCAAATTGTTTATCATAACTCCCATACATTCCCTTATAAACCATACACAGGAACCTTGTTTGGGCTGCCTGTGTTATGCCTATATAATAGCAATACTTTTGGCTGAGATCAGCGCATCTTAGAATCACACTATCATTATATTATATGCTGCATGACAGCGGTCATGTGTCTGTAGTTGAGAGCAAAATTATTGTTTTTATTTGAAATTGGTGATTCTTTTTAGCTTCTTGTTCTATAGTAAGATTTTGTTACCAATGACTAAAGAATCCCTTTGTAGCATGCAGACAGACATTGCTGCTGTAAAAGTATGCTGTGTGTTGGCAGTCAATCTGTAAGTATTGACTAAGGTGTTTATATACACCGATACCGCATTCATTGTTCTACCCCCTAGTTACTGTTGCTACATCGGACAAGCTGAAGTGTGTTTTTGATATACAGCATGGAACAGACACCGATGCAGTAAATAGGCCCTTTGCAGTTAACCGTCACCTGTCTGTACTGGAGAGCAAAACCTTCGTTTTTATATTAAATTGGTGATTCTTTTTAGCTACTTGTAAAGAACTGAATGAAACGATGTGTAACCAGTGTGTTACGAAATGCAGTTTTATTACGATCTCTGGAAACAGGTTGTAGAAAGTTTGTTTGCTCACCAGTATACTTCACCCATGGGAATCAAGATGTTCATTCATTTGCTCTCAGTGAATTAATCAGCACGTGATTACTGAGCTGTAAAGGGCCTATTGTAAATGTCAATTGTAAAATACAATAGAAAACGATGACCTTTCCCCAACCCCGCCCCTAAACCTAACCAATCACAGGAGACGTTGCAAATTCGTGAAGCCTAACCCGGCTGTGCTTTAGGAGCAATAAAGATCTAATAAAATATATTTCTTCGTAGCTAATATTCTGGATAAAAATTCTGAGACCTCCAGGTAGGATTCGAACTCGAGAATGTTTTTCTGCAGATAATATTACTAAGCTTTGAAGTAACTCCTTTCCATCTTTATATGTCAAATCTGTATTTGTACCTTCTTTATCATCTTTTTCTTCTTCTTTGGCTATGGGTTTATCTTTTTCTTTGTGCTTTCCTTGTACAGCTTTTTTAGCAACTCTGAGCTGAAAGATAAGGGATTATATAGAGGATATTACATGGGCGCGCGGAGATACGAAATTTATCTTCGAGTGTTGAAAAGATCTTCAACACGAGAAGCTAAATTTCGTATCTCCAAGCGCCCATGTAATATTCTGTTTATTATATAATTATCCATAAAATCAACTTAACAAGCTTTCTATTATTATATTTTTTCATATATTTTATTTACAAACTAATAGCTTAATTACACATGGTAACRATATTTTCACATGTGAAAATAACATGTTATTTTCACATTTCAAATATGACTTTTTCGAAAAGGAGAAATATAGGTATTTTATGGATAACTACGTGATAAATGCATGTATTAATACCACTAACAGTGATTTTGAATTATGTCTTCTAGTTTTGAAGCAAAGATTCTAACCTTTCTCTTTAACTGAGTGACTTTTCTCTGTACTTCCCACAGTAATTCATCCTGTCCTTCTGCCTGGAAAATAATAAAATAAAAAAACTTGTCATCGCTTATTTATACCGACCCCGTAAAATCCCCATACCCATCCCACAATCAAACCGTTAAGAAATCATTAGTAAAGGCCAGACACTGAGGGTGGTCACTGCCAGAATTTTTTTACGTCCTCAGTTGTTATTTTGCGTCCCTCCATTGCAGGGTGAGGTAGTCGAGAGAGACGGGACCACCCTTTCACGTGGGACAGGGCAAAAAATCGATAAGCCCGCTACTTTTACGATTTTTTTTAACTGAGTTTAATACTCCAAACTTTTAAGCGTTTCATTTGTGTCACTGCTGCTCGAAACTTGTGACGAAATTTTGTCGAATTAGAGTAAATCTACTTATTAGTATTCACGAACATGTCAGTTTTTCTGCTGATCAAAATATCACCTCTCCCAAAGTGCACGGCTTTATATCTCGAATACGCATTCAATAAATTTTGGTCGCATTTGATATTTTGCTATTTGGCTCCAAAAGAACGCGTTTACAAAATATTGAGCTTAAATACGTAAAGCTGTCCTTATGGCGAAAGGCCAAAAACCGTTTTTCTGCCCTGTCTTTACGTGGTCATCCGAGCCACGTATATTATTATTATAATACTTACATCATCATTATCTTTAGTGCTGTTAAGTTTTTCATGTAGTTGTGCCAAAATGGCTTCCTGTTTAGCTAACACAGATGCAATGGCCCTGAAATGAACAAGAACATATTAAGTTATATATATTAAGTGGTCTATCGACTAGTGGTCTATCGACTAGCGGTCTATCCACTAGCGGTCTATCCACTAGCGGTCTATCCACTAGCGGTCTATCCACTAGCGGTCTATCCACTAGCGGTCTATCCACTAG